CAATATTACCACGCACTCCTTCCAATAATACCACGCACTCTCCAATATTACCACGCACTCTCCAATATTACCACGCACTCTCCAATATTACCACGCACCCCCTTTTTAACCAATCTTATTACCACGTCCTTCCCGACTCTCCATATTACACGCACTCTCCAATATTACCACGCACTCTCAATATTACCACGCACTCTCCAATATTACCAAACGCACTCTCCAATATTACCACGCACTCTCCAATATTACCACGCACTCTCCAATATTACCACGCACTCTCCAATATTACCACGCACTCTCCAATATTACCACGCACTCTCCAATATTACCACGCACTCTCCAATATTACCACGCAACTCTCCAATATTACCACGCACTCTCCAATATTACCACGCACTCTCCAATATTACCACGCACTCTCCAATATTACCACGCACCTCTCCAATATTTTCACATTTTTAAGATGCTTCTTTCCACCAGTTCCTCGAATCAAACCTTTCAATATACGCTTTAAAATTTACGTAAATAATTTTTAATGGATTAATGCCTATAAAATTTCTCAACTTTTTTTTTTTGTTTCATAGACCTTAATGAGAGGACAACTTTTTGTATATATTTTATGTGTTATGATGGATTAATAATAATTTGAAATAAATGGTATTACCCAGGGATAATAATCAATATAAAATTATTGCAATAAGATATTCTCTGAGTATTTTCCTACTTCATAATATTTGGTAGGAATATTTGCTTAAGTTGCTGAAATTTTTTTTTTTTTTTTTTTTTTTCAACAAGTCGGCCGTCTCCCACCGAGGCAGGGTGACCCAAAAAAGAAAGAAAATCCCCAAAAAGAAAATACTTTCATCATCATTCAACACTTTCACCACACTCGCACATTATCACTGTTTTTGCAGAGGTGCTCAGAATACAACAGTCTAGAAGCATAACGTATAAAAATACACAACATATCCCTCCAAACTGCCAATATCCCAAACCCCTCCTTTAAAGTGCAGGCATTGTACTTCCCATTTCCAGGACTCAAGTCCGACTATATGAAAAAAACCCGGGTTTTCCCTGAATCCCTTCACTAAATATTACCCTGCTCACACTCCAACAGATCGTCAGGTCCCAATACCATTCGTCTCCATTCACCCCTATCTAACACGCTCACGCACGCTTGCTGGAAGTCCAAGCCCCTTACCCACAAAACCTCCTTTACCCCCTCTCTCCAACCCTTTCGAGGACGACCCCTACCCCGCCTTCCTTCCCCTATAGATTTATATGCTTTCCCTGTCATTCTACTGTGATCCATTCTCTCTAAATGACCAAACCACCTCAACAACCCCTTTCTGCCCTCTGACTAATACTTTTATTAACTCCACACCTTCTCCTAATTTCCACACTCCGAATTTTCTGCATAATATTTACACCACACATTGCCCTTAAACAGGACATCTCCACTGCCTCCAACCGTCTCCTCGCTGCTGCATTTACCACCCAAGCTTCACACCCATTTTAAGAGTGTTGGTACTACTAAACTTTCATACATTCCCTTCTTTGCCTTTCCCTAGATAACGTTTTTTGACTCCACATATACCTCAACGCACCACTCACCTTTTTTCCCCTCATCAATTCTATGATTAACCTCATCCTTCATAAATCCATCTGCCGACACATCAACTCCCAAGTATCTGAAAACATTCACTTCTTCCATACTCCTCCTCCCCAATTTGATATCCAATTTTTCTTTATCTAAATCATTTGCTGAAATAACAGTATTAATGTAATTTTTGGTTACAAAGTCGAAATTCTTTTAGAAATGGCAATGCCTTTTAATTTTTCTTATGTTTTCATATGTTACAAGAGTGTTTCAGGAACAACTTTCTCAGAGGGAAAGTTAGAGAAAGTGATGAAAGTAAAAACTTCAGTTTCAGTGAAAAATTATATATATGAAGAAAAAGTTTTCGAAAATATCTATATTTTTTTCAAAATGAAAGTGTTTTTGAATGTATTTTGAAGACACTGTTTTAGAGGGAGAATATCTCAATATTGTTACATGGAGTCATGTGTGGCCTTTACATGGTAGTTATGGGTTTTAAATGGTGGGTAACCATTGCATGGTGTAATATATTTTAAGAATGTTAAAAGCAATTAACACGAGATTAACCTTATGTATCATGGATGAGTTTCTTCAAAGTTTAAAATATTGAGGATATTAGTCATTTAAGAATTGATGCCAACTTAGTCTTATCTTCTTGGATCAAAAGTTTTAAATATTTTCCTTGATGATTTAAGTGCATCAATCAAACGTCTTTAGAACGCATTTCGAGGTCAATTTTTGAAAGAGTCACACTGTCACCCCTTCCAGGATTTTTTCTTTCTTTTGGTCTTAGTGGATATTATCATTGTATCCTCCACCATTCTGCCATTTACAATGACTCTTCATATCTTTTAACCGTATGCCACAATAATACGATTTACATCAGCAATATTACAGAAAAAGTTACCACTGGTAAAGACTTCCAAGGAAATATCTTTCCCTTAATCTAGTTAGAAAAGTTAGAATATTTGTTAGTTAATAAAAGTTTCTGGGGTTATACTAGATTGTTAGTATAAACCTTGGTAATAAATACCCACAAGTTGCTGTACAGAGATAGTTAGTAAACACTGGGAGGGATCAAGGTCACACGACAAATACGTTTCCTAATAAGACCTAGTGTTTGCTTGTGTTTTTTTTTCTAAATCATTCTACATTAGTATCCTACTAGGTCTCCGTCTCTGCCCCCTCTCCGTCCCGTCTCCGTCTCTGCCCCCTCTGTTCCGTCTCTGCCCCCTCTCCGTCTCTCCCCCTACTCCGTCCCCTCTCCGTCTCTCCCCCTCTCCTCTCTGCCCCCTCTCCGTCCCCTCCCCGTCTCTGCCCCCCTCCGTCTCTCTCTGGAAAGGGGAATTTGTGCATCCTTTTTTTCATTCATTTACATTAAATATCATTTTTTTTTATTAACACATGGACGATTCCCCCAAGGCAGGGTGGCCCGAAAAAGAAAAACTTTCACCATCATCACTCCATCACTGTCTTGCCAGAAGGGTGCTTTACACTACAGTTTAAACTAACATTAACACCCCTCCTCAGAGTGCAGACACTGTACTTCCCATCTCCGACTCAAGTCCGGCCTTGCCGGTTTCCCTGATCCCTTCATAAATGTTACTTTGCTCACACTCCAACACCTCGTCAAGTATTAACATCCATTTGTCTCCAATCACATCAAATACGCTCACGCATACTTGCTGGAAGTCCAAGCCCCTCGCACACAAAACCTCCTTTACCCCCTCCCTCCAACCTTTCCTAGGCCGACCCCTACCCTGCCTTCCCTCCACTACAGACTGATACACTCTTCAAGTCATTCTGTTTCGCTCCATTCTCTCCACATGTCCGAACCACCTCAACAACCCTTCCTCAGCCCTCTGGAAACAGTTTGGCAATCCCGCACCTTCTCCTACTTTAGCATTCAGGTCCCTACCACAAATACTCTCTCACTTGGTTCAAAGGTTCCTATACATTCACTTAACATCTCCCAAAATCTCTCTCTCTAATCTACACTCCTCATTTCTCCAGGTGCATACACGCTTATTATCACCCACTTTTCGCATCCAACCTTTATTTTAATCCACATGATCCTTGAATTTACACATTCATACTTTCTTTACTCCTTCCATAACTGATCCTTCAACATTATTGCTACCCTTCCTTAGCTCTAGACTCTCTCAGATACTCCAGATTTAATCCCATTTTATTTCTCCCACCGAAACTCGCCTGCCTCCTTCAGCTTTGTTTCGCTTAGGGCCAGGACATCCAACTTCTTTTCATTCATAACATCAGCAATATATCTGTTTCTTGTCATCCGCACTACATCCACGCACATTCAAGCATCCCAGTTTTATAAAGTTTTTCTTCTTCTCTGTTTTAGTAAATGTTTACAGGAGAAGTGGTTACTAGCCCATTGCTCCCGCATTTAAGTTACCTCATACGACACGCATGGCTTACGGAGGAAAGATTCTTTTCCACTTCCCCATGGACAATAGAAGAAATAAAGAAGAACAAGAGCTATTCAGAAAAAGGAGAAAAACCTAGATGTACGTATATATATATGCATGTGCGTGTCTGTGAAGTGTGACCCAAGTGTAAGTAGGAGTAGCAAGATATCCCTGTTATCTAGCGTGTTTATGAGACAGAAAAAGAAACCAGCAAATTATGTAAATAAGTATGACTGATTAAGATACTATAATGCATTTATTACATAATAAAAAAAATCGCATTATCCTTTCCTAATATTGAGAAAGTGACAAAATATTTTATCATTGATTTCAATGTTTTTTTATAAACTAGAAAATATATGAAAATATCAGATTTAAAATTTTATTAAATGGTACTATATCAATGATTATCAAAAAAAAAAAAAATATGACACACAAACTCCTACAGAATTTAATAAGAGATAAGGAGAAATAAGAAATTCTCTAGAGTAAGCGTATTTTTCCCATTTATCATTGAACCAAATGACTGATTAAAGTTACATATGGAGAATGATATAAACAGTTTTATTGTGTATGAAAATAAATAAAAGTAGAAAAAGATAAGAGAACTTTAAATGTCTGTAGAGAGGAAAACAAAAATAAGAGGCGAGTCTGTATATATCGAAACGAGACGAACACCTTAGACCAGTGTCCGATTCACCGAAGTTCTGAGGTGAATCGGACGAGTTGTAATAGGCGGGCGAGGCATAAACTAGAAAACATCCAGGTCTAATATTCAAGGACACTTCGTATTCCGGGAGGGTCGGCGAACTGCAAAACATTCGTTCAGAAAGGAGTAAGGCACAGGTGACAGCAGCTAGCATTACCCGGGAGACGACCTTTGCAGCTACACTCACCTGGGAAATAGGCCAGAAGGTAGTTATAGCCTCACCTAGGAGATAAGAGGAAACTTTAGCAGTAAGACTCACCTGGGAGATGAGGTGGGAGGTGATTATAGGAGCTATAAAACCGCCAATGTTTCCCAGTCCAGTAAGTCCAGACAGCGTTCCTGTCAAATAAATTATCTGTCAGCTTTCCCTTTCATGATTCATGGCGTCCATGAGATAAAGTTAGGTTCCTCACCTTGGCAGGATAACGTGTGATTTCATTATATTAATAACCTTCTTTGGGCAAGTAACACTATTTAGTTACACTTTTTTTAAGTCTTATCTGAGGCTTCAAGGACTCGTGGAATTATTGACAGCCTCTGTCCAAAAGGCGAATTCCTCACAATCCAAAAGTAACCAAACAAATTACCCTAATCCCTTAGTAAGTGGAATGAGGAATTAAGATATGAAGAAGTTCTGGTGTAGGCCTGGGAGTGTGCGTTTTACAATCCCTCGTAAGTAGTAAAAACGAAAACTGTTTACATTCATATTCAAAGGAAAAACTATAAAAATTACAGCAAATGTAATAAGAATAAAAAGGTCTTAGAATATGCCAAACAAAAAAGTATTAGAAACAGTAAGAAAGAGTATATTATCACAATACCTTAGCTGGAAAAAATTTCAAACCCGTACTTAGGAAACGTTGCATGATTTCAGTGTTGCAATCACACTTTTCGGTCCGATTTATACTATTAACAAGTGACATCAAAATCCCTCGAATATAAAGTTTCTTGACTCATAAAAGGTATACAGTAGCGAAAAGTTGAACAATAAGACACCTGCAAAAAATCTTTATTGATATGTTGAGGCAACCAGCGGCTCTTCCAGTCCAAAGCATAAAGACTGGAGCAAGTGGAAGTAATGGAGTGGTAATTTCTTGGTGTAAAGTCTCTCAACATTTTAAAAAGTGTTGTGTATCTTAGCCTTGATAAATCTAAAACAGAAACAAGAGGATGGATACTTTCATAGTGGAGTCAGAGGAAAGGTGCTACAATTTAAAAGATAAACAAATAATATTTATGGAAAATTAAAATTAGCTGGATGAACCTCATAAGATACATACCAGTAAATTATTCTTTATCAAGGTTACAGAGACATTTAAGAATTTTAGGACATCCTAGGTCGCAAAAAATGTCCTCCTTCGATACCTACTACTGTCATACTTCCACAAGTCACTCTGGACCTATATTAATCTCAAATGAAATATACATCACCAGGAATTCTGGTAAAACACTAACATAAATATGTGGACTGTATATTAAATTTAAAAAATGAATACATATACATTGAAGGAGAATTTATCTTAATAACACTCGCCAATTAGTCTGGAGATTCCTTGGTGTGTCATACACAAACCCCTGCCTAAAATATGAAGAAAATACTGGCCAGAATTTCAACATAAATGTACAGACATGACATGGCTGGGGTTCCCTGACTGTCCTGTCCACTCGTCTTCTCAAGTTCTCGCCTTCTTAATACATTCCATCAATTTACATACAAATTACACTGTATTTTCGGAAAATATACAGCATTTTCCATAATATTTATGAAATATACAACAGAGATGAGTTTATAAACAAGTCACACGTGCCACCTTTATTGGTGGCACCTGTCGCCTGTGAAGCAGGCTTCTTCAGTCGAATACTATAGGGAAATAAGAACATAAGAAAGAAGGAACACTGTAACAGGCCCACTGGCCCATGCAGAGCAGGTTCATGTCTCCCCCCCCCCGGATTAGCCCAATGACCCACCCAGTCTGGTCACTTCCACTCAAGGAAGGAGCACGGCACCAGACCCAGCAGCACAAGCTAGTCCGGTCCAACTCACACCCACCCACACCCACTCATGTATTTATATAACCTATTTTTAAAACTACACAATGTTTTAGCCTCAAAACTGTACTCGGGAGTTTATTCCACTCATCCACAACTATTACCAAACCAGTCCTTTCCTATATCCTTCCTGAATCTCAATTTATCCAACTTGAAACCACTGCTGTGAGTCCTGTCATGGCTGAAAATTTTTAGCACGCTATTTACATCCCCTTTATTTATTCCTGTTTTCCATTTATACACTCAATCATATCCCCCCTAATTCTATGCCTTTCGAGAGAATGCAGATTCAGAGCCCTCAGTCTATCCTCATAGGGAAGATTTCTGATATGTGGGATCATCTTTGTCATCCTCCTCTGTACGTTTTCCAGAGCATTTATATCCATTCTGCAACACGGTGACCAGAACTGAGCAGCATAGTCTAAATGAGGCCTAACCAAGGATATATAGAGTTGAAGAAAAACCTTAGGACTTCTATTATTTATACTTCTAGATATGAAGCCAAGAATTCTGTTAGCTTTATTGCGAACACTAATGCACTGTTGTCTTGGTTTTAGATTACTGCTAACCAGAACTCCTAAATCATTTTCGCAATCAGTAGTATTAAGATTTACATTATTTACTTTATATGTGGCATGGTTATTTTCCTGTCCAACATTTTGAACTCTGCATTTATCTATATTAAACTGCATCTGCCACTTCTCCGACCATTGCATCAGTCTATTCAAATCATCCTGGAGTGCTCTAATGTCCTCATTAGATTGAATTGGACGGCCTATTTTGGTGCCATCAGCAAATTTGCTTATGTCACTATTTATTCCCTCATCTATGTCGTTTATGTAAATTGTGAACAACAACGGGCCCAACACTGGCCCCTGAGGAACACCGCTTGTGACGTGCCCCCGTTCTGATTTCTCCCCATTTATGCAAACTCTCTGCTGCATATTTGTCAGCCGTGCCTCTACCCAGGAAAAAATTTCTCCTATTCCGTGTGCCTTAAGTTTCCTCAATAGCCTCTGATGTGGAACTCTATCGAAAGCCTTACTGAAGTCCATATACACAATATCATATTCATTAAGATGTTTGAGGTGGTAGATCACGGTAGAGAAAAATGTTAGTAAATTCGTAAGACAGGAACGCCCCTTTGTAAAACCGTGTTGAGATTCATTAATCAATCTGTGCCTATCAAGATGGCTACGAATCGCTTCGGCAAATATAACACTGTAGAAAGCAAAGTAAGTAATTCTGAAGCAAGTAGTCCCTCAGTCTTGATAGGTGGTGGTTAGTCCTTCAGAGGCATGCCCAGACATCATATATTAGAGTAGAAGGGGGGGGTAGCAGCGGGAATAGCATCCCGGTGATCGTGGCCTACTAGAAATTTCCCCCTGCAGAAGAAAACACGGGTTGGTGTGTCAGACACGTGTGTCACAATATTAACGGAATACAGTACCGACAAGCTAATGAATAAAAACTCATGTGCAACACTTGGTTTTGCCTGCACTAAAAGGCTTCTTCGGTTGTTTAAAAGGCGAATATGTGGGAAACAACAAAATAACCCGAGGGGGCCACCCATCATCCAACCTTTATATATTTGGTGAAGTGGGTGCAGCATCTGGAAGTACCGTATACGTGCATGTGTCCCCTGTAATCTTGTCACTATGCGTTTGTTTAGCAAAGGACTGAGAATCTTTCCTGTACCAAAAAAAAAACGATTTGTTTTGTCAAACAGGTACATATTTTTGATAATATAACACTGAAAAGTATGGGGCATCTTGCTAGCCCATAGTGTAAGTAGAGGTTTTAGCGAAGGATTTGGGAAAATCTTACATTGATTCAAAACTGCGGGTGGTGAATCAAACTTTTCCCAACCTTGGAGGTCTTCTATTTCAAGTGTTTCGGCTGGCGCAATCTTCTTCAGTTAAATACAAGAAATTTTTAACACGGTGGGGGGAATCTGCTTTCTAAAAATCATTATAAGCCAGTGTTTGCGCAAGATGAAAAAACTTATCCCAAAACATGTGCCACTGAAAATTAAACACTTTTGCAACATCTGTTATCTTTATTGTAGCGTTTCGCCATCCGTGGCTTTATCAATACAAATTCCAGAACAAACTTAAGACAGTAAACTTTACAGAAGATGGGTAATCATCCCTCAACCTTGGATAGGGGGAGGAGCACCGTATCGGGGAGATTCAAAGCGAAGCAAGGAGCCGGCGCTTATAACTAACGCAGGGGGGAAGGGGAGTAAGCAACGAGGGCAAGTCACTGGTGGCGGGACCCCCCCAGGGGAAGTGGGTCCTACCCAAAGGTGGGTTAGTTTAGAAGTAGTTTCGTAGTCGTGAAGGTTATGTACTTTCCTCAAATAAAGATCCATGATTTGAGTGTCTGACAATTTGGACAAGAATTGTATACAATACCCCACAAGATGAAATTAAAGACATGTGCAGCTTTGGGTATCTTTATTGAAGACGTTTCGCCATCCGTGGTTTATCAATAAAAATTTTCCAGGAATAATTTGAAAGAAAAAAAGAACATGTGCACACGTACACACTACGACATTTGGTTTAAAATTTTTATAAAAATTTTTAAAACCTTCCTTGTTGTTTAATGTGAGCATTCACTTATTCATTATTTTTGAAATATTTTTTCCCTATAGAGGGGTGTGTGTGTGTGTGTGTGGTGGTGTGTGTGTTGTGGGTGTGTGGGGGTTGTGGTGTGTGCGGCGCGCGCGCCCCACGCCCCTTTTTTAGTTGCAGGGGTCAATCCAAGCTCCTGGCCCCGCCTTCACTGGTCGCACTGGTCACTCCCCTGAACCGTGAGTTTTAACATACCTCTGCTTAAAGCTATGTAGGTCCTGCCCCCACTACACGCTTCCCAAACTATTCCACTTCCTGACTATCGTGGCTGAAGAAATACTTCCTAACATCCCGTGTTTATCTGTGTCTTCAACTTCCGACTGTGTCCCCCCGTTTCTGTGCCCCGTCTTGGAACATCCTGTCTTTGTCCCCCCTTTTTCAAATTTTTCTCAGATTTGTTTGCGTTTCATGTCTCCCCTATCTCTCCCCTCCACCAGTGTTTCCCGGTTGATTTCCCTTAACCTCTCCTCGTAGGACATAACTCTTAGCTCTGGAAAAAGCATGTTGCAAACTTTTGCACTTTCTCTATTCTTTACGTGCTTGGCTAGGTGGGGGTTCCAAAGGGGCCGAACCCAATATGGGCCAACTACACGGAGTACAGGGGCCTTAACGATTCCCTTTTCAAGATGTCGGAATTCTGTTCTGAGTTTCT